TATAATCTACATTTTGGAATGCAGAAAATGAAATTAATACTATCACACTGCATCTAGGCTCAGTAGCATGGGGAGTCAGAAGAGTGTCATGAGTTCAGGCGTTCAGGGCCAACCTGTGATACAATAAGACGCTGTGTCAAACAAAAAGTCAAACCAGAAAGACATGTTGGCATGCTCCGTTTGCTTTCTCAAGGGCTTAGCACGTATGGTGCTTACATTTCATTCACCATGAATCAAATTTTCTTGAGCACCAATCTATTCTGAGCACTGCTCTAGGCATGGGGAATACAACAGTGAATGATGCAGTAGACCCCGCTCGTCTGAAGGAAGATTTTAGTAGGCAAGATAAACAACATAAAGGGGCTTATCAGACTGTCGAGCGCTATACGGAAGGAAATCATACAGGATACGGAAGTGGGGGTGGAATTGGAATCAGCAGCGTTTTTTATACGGAAGCACAGATGGACAGCAGGCTTTCCTAGATGAGTGGACAGTGAGGAAACCCTGAAGTCATACCACTAGGAGTAATGACCTCAGGATTCTACGCAGAGAGACTCGGGAACAAGGGCACTGGACTACTGACCTTCTAGGTCAGGGTAGAATGTCAGGAAAGCAGCAAATGAGACCAAAAGAGGGAGAAGCAGACTTGTGTGGAGACAGCCACCTAACCTGTGTGTGTGCTGACAAAGCAGCGCAGCTGAGGACTTTAAGGAGCATTCCAGTCATGCATTGGGAAGAAACTGAAGGTTGAAAAAGAGTAAGAGCATGAAGGCCTGCCTGTTAGGGGCTTTCTAGCAATCCTGGGCTAGCGTTGTCATAACAACGATGGAGAGTGAAGTGGTTTCACCCTGGAACTACACTCACAGACCTGACAGGATGGAGCTAAGAAGAGAAGAGTAGACATGAACTCCACAGAATTTCTCCTGAGCAACAAATGGAATGGAGTTGCTGTCACCTGAGACTGTAGAATGACTGAGGGAGAGAAGACAAGGTCAGAAACCCTCGCCATCAATGCACTGAGTTTGACACGCCTCTTACATGTTTCAGTGGCATTGTTAGCCACTTAAAAATCTGAATGTGGAGTTTTTTGGGACATCTAAGCTAGAGAAAAATAAATTTGTTCTTTTTGTAATTTAAGACATTTTAAAGATGAATGATATGCTAGCTTGCCAGGTTGTCCAAATAAGAAATCAAAACTACAGGTATACATGAGAGTCTCAAAAACAAAACAATGCTAACAACAATACACAGAGAGAAGCAATCAAACAATCTATAACAACTATTTCTTACCAATTCTAAAATAAAATCTCATCTATTAGATAAACCTGAATTTAGTTTGAAAAGCTTGTTAATTACTTCTCTCATCAGTGTGGCCCAACTGCCGCCCATCCCAGATGCACACTGCTGCTTAGGTTATCTGACCTCAGGATTACTTTTTCAGAAAAGAAAGAATTGATGTAGACTATGGTCACAGTTTATCAGCTTTCCTTCCTTTGCAGGAAAAGAAAGTTGTTAGGAGATTGGTAATATAGAGAATAGTTTCTTTCGGAGCTTTGTCTTCCATTAAAAGGCTGCTTTCTTGAGATCACATAGCCCAGCATTAATGTGTGTGTATTTTTATGTGTAGTCTTTTTTTAAAAAAACTAACTTTATTTAAAAATTTTTTTCTTAAATATTTATTTATTTATTTATTTTATGTATATGAGTACACTGTTGCTCTCTTCAGACACACCAGAAGAGGGGATCAGATCCCATTACAGATGGTTGTGAGCCACCATGTGGTTGCTGGGAATTGAACTCAGAACCTCTGGAAGAGCAGTCAGTGTTCTAAACCGCTCAGTCATCTCTCTAACCCTTATTTAAAATTTTTAAAGAATGCTTTCTCATTTATAATCATCTTGAACTGCAGTTCCTCATTCACCTAAGATTTCTCAATTATTTCCTTATACAATTCTGTGGACTGTTTTAGTAAGGTGGCCCCTGTAAGGGTCTTTAATTTGCACTTCAGACAGCATGGTTCTGAATTTGGGCAGCTTTCCTTCTCTTGATGTTCCTACAAATTGGTGTAATGTGTTCCTATGTTTATGCACTGAATGACACAGGCCAGAAGAGAGGGTCAGATTTCCTGGAACTGTCATTACAGGGAGTTATGAGCCTGTGTGGGTGCTGGGAACCAAACACAGCTCTTTCACAAGAACAGCAAGATCTATTAGTCACTGAGCTATCTTCTGGCCCCATATGCCTTTTTGAGGTGAGAGGTGTGTGTGTGTGTCTGTGTGTGTGTGTGTTTATATAGGTCCTCATGTGTGCCACATGGCTGGTTTATGCAATGCAAGAGACTGAACTCAGGGTTTCATGTATGCTAGGCAAACACTCGAACAACTATGCTACATCCCTGACCCTGAATCAAAACTTTTCTAAGACTCCAAAGACCATACAGATTATTGCCAGTGTTCTTGGTTGCACACTAGAACTTAATGGTGAGCCCCCACTGTTAAAGACACCATATACTTTCGTCCCAAGTCATTGAGAAATCAAGTGGGTACTTACCAAGAATGTTTCTTCCCTGCTGGCTAGCTAGCATAGTCCTGGAAGGTGCTGTGCAGACTGCTGAGGGGGACAAGTCATCAACAGGCTAACCTAGCTGTGGACCTGTGCACTACAATACTGACTGGCATGGCAAGAGATGGCAGTGTGTACAACGGCGGCATGGATGTTGTAGGGATAAATGATAACTGCTTTGCGATTGCATTTAAGGTCTGCAGAGGGAAAACTCATACCTGGAACTGTAAATCTAGCTAAGAACCCATGACCTGGGAGTTCATAGACCCCATAGTCAAACCTATTATTCTACTAAGTGCACACAGGATCAGCCTGCCCTCTAAATTCATTCCTCTATACCCACGGATTAGTGTGGCTCTCAGAACTCATTTAGAGATGCTTCTTTATGCCATGGATGGTGGTTAATCCAGAAACTCACAACTGATCAAAGTTCAGTGAATAAGTGTCATCGGAGTATTTGCTCATCTACAAATAAGACAACTCTACTATCCAGCCTTCCACGAGGCTCAGAGAACATCCTGGGAGAAGGGGCAGAAAGCCTGGGAGAGCAGAAGTCAGGGAGGACAGGAGTGAGACAGTGTCTTCTAGATAAGCAAGAGCTGGTGCACTCACACACAGCAGCTGTGGCTGCTCACACAGGGTCAAGCCAGTTACTCTAGCATGAGGGTGAAGGGCTCATGAGTCCTCAGCCTTAACTGTGTAGCTTTGGACAACAGAGGCTTCTATAGAAAAGGAGTCAGTTTTCTTGAATGTTGTGGCCCCTGGTGGGTTGCTCACACTACAGTGGATGCCCTTATCCCCAGGAGAATATAGGCAGCACAAATTGAACTTGATAGGTTATTAAAAATAAAATGTGTACACACACACACACACATACACACGCACACACACAAATATGACATGAAATTGGGGGTGCAGTAGGAAAGTGGAGTGCATCAGGGAAGAGTTATAGAAATGAGTAACGAGTGAATAGGATCAAACCACAGTCTGAGATTCTCAGGGAACTAATAAAAGTCATATATGAAAAGACTTTACTATGTTAAAAACACAGCAGAGTATTATATTAAATAAATTGTGTTTTCTTGCTGGATGTAGTGGCACATGCCTTTAATCCAAGCATTCAGGAGGCAGAGGCAGGCTGATCTCTGAGTCTGAGGCCATCCTGGCCTACAGAGCGAGTTCCAGGACAGTTAGGGCTATACAGAGAAACCCTGTCTTAAAAAAACAAACAAAATTTTGTTTTGTTTTCTTTTTCATGTTGACAGAAGACTGGTAAAACATCAAGTAGGACAATTTTTTATAATTTTTACAGAGTGAAAGACAATCTAGAATTTTGGTAGTGCTTTGGTTTAAATATATCCTTCAAAAGTTCATGTGTGGAGCATGCCTGTACTTTGAACAATCAAGAGACTGAGGCAGGAAGATTGCTCCAAGACTGAGGCTAGCCTGGACTAAACAGAGAGTACTAGAGGTCAGCTGAGACTATATATAGCAAAGTCTTAAAAGACAAAAGGCCCGTATCTTAGCTCAGTGGTAGATAGGGTGCCTCGCACATGTGTATTCTGAATTCATTTCTCAGCATCCCCAGATTAAAAAGAAGCTAATGTGCTATAAGCTGGTGAAATTTGGTCCTGGTTCTTCCTCCCATTCCCATGCTCCCAGAAATAAGACACAGATTCAAAATAGCTTTACAAATACTTTGGCCATATAGCTAGGCTCTTCTCTGACTAGAATCATAACAAGAGAACTCATTTATTTTAATCTACATTCTGCCACGTGGCTGGTTACCTGTGCTCAGGCACCATGCCTCTGTCTCCTCACATCTTTCCTGGCCAGATCTCTCCTGAGCCTGGCTCTATTCCAGAATTCTTTTTGCCTCCCAGATATCCTATCTTATATTTCCTGCCTAAGCAATAAGCCATAGGCTTTCCAGTTGACAGGTGATGCATCCATACAATACACAAGATATTCTCTCTACAAAAAGCTTAATCTGGGGCTGGAGAAATGGCTCAGCAGTCAAGAACACTGACTGCTCTTCCAAAGGTCCTGAGTTCAATTCCCAGCAACCACAACCACATGGTGGTGGGTTATAACCATCTGGTCATGGAACCTCCAATGCCATCTTCTGGTGTGTCTGAAGACAGCAACAATGTACTAACATAGTATAAATACATCTTTTTTTTTTTAATTCTTAAATCTTCAAACTAATATGTCAATGGCATTAGGCAGCTGGGGCCTTCAGGAGGTAATTCACAATGAACAAGGTCATGAAATGACACCTCCATGATGTAGTAATGGCTTGTACTGCCACTGCACATGGTGCCTTCTACCCCTTGTCAACTACAGCAAGGCCCTCCCAGATGCTGAACAGATTTTAGCCTGTGCCAGTGGACTTCCTAGCTTCCAGAACTTTGAGCCAAATAATCTTTGTTTTCTATGTTAACTAACTACCCAGTCTGTATTATTCTTCAACAGAAAACAGCCCAGGATAGAAAGTAAACCTTTTCCAGGTTGTACATTGCTGCTTCAGGAAATTCTTCTGGCTAAATGGAAGGAATTATTAGAGTTGGGGAGTCAGAGAATGTAGGCAATTGTTTCACTTCAAGGAATTTAACCTAGGAACATCCTATCACTGTCGGATGTTATGTAAGTACTATAAATGCTTCACTGCTGACAACAGAATGTCTTTCTTCATGTGATGGCAACAAGTGGTTACTAAGACAACAGATAAGAAGGTCCATCCAGCATCCACTCGAAGAGGCCAGTGTTTTCCAGGAGACACCTAGCTTATGAGGTTTGACTCTCAGCAGTCTAAGAGCAGTGTGAACAGGGCACATCATGTGACTACCCACTCAGTAACCATGGCAAGGAAGGAAGCAGGCAGAGAAGGTGAGTTTATAATTTCAAATCACAGCATCAAAATAACACAGTTTTTAGAAGAAAGAGAAAAATGGTTAAAATTTTGCTAGCAAAACCAAAAACGTAGATGATGCTGATGCAGATGGGATGGGTGGCTGTCTTAGCAGCAGCCTATGTTAGATTCTATTGTATATAAAATAAAAAGGAAGGAGCTGTCAAGCTTGTATTTTTAAGATTACTTAAAAGACAAAGCACTATCGGGAAAAAAAAATCTGTTCCTCTTCAAATTCTTCCCCTCACAATCGCCATCTCCACCCTAAAATTAAAAACCAAGCCAGTAAGAACGAGGGATAAGAACTGTAAATACCTGCTGTCAAAGCCGTGACTGTACTAATGTTACACTATAGGCAATCTACTGAATGGTAAGCACTACTCAGCTTAAGTCCCATCCTTTAAACCAAACTATACAGGACAAGACCCAGGGTCTGGCCAGCATGTTTGATGTGGAACCCAACACCTGCTCATGCTTACCTTCTTTGCTCTCAGAATCTTTGGACGTCTAGACATTGGGACACTCTGTGTTACATATTTACATTGGGATTCTGTATTATATATTTGCATTGGGACTTTCCATCATATATTTACATTGGGACTCTTTATTACATGTTTACATTGGTATTCTGTATTATATATTTACATTGGGACTCTGTTACATAGTTACATTGAGACTCTATTATATATTTACAATGTAATATATTTACATTGGGACTCTCTGTGTTACTATGTTATTTTTTAATATATATATATATATATACTGTAGCTGTCATCAGACACCCCAGAAGAGGACATCAGATCCCATTACAGATGGTTGTGAACGACCATGCAGTTGCTGGGAATTGAATTAAGGACCCCTGGAAGAACAGTCAGTCCTTTTAACCACTGAACTATCGCTTCAGCCCCTCTGTGCTACATATTTACGTTAGGATGTTATGTATTACATACTTTCATTGGAACTCTCTGTATTACATATTCACCTTGGGACTCTGTATTATGTATTTAGATTGGAATTCTCTGTATTACAAATTCACCTTGGGACTGTATTATATGTTTAAATTGGGACTATATGTATTTTATACTTAGATTAGGATGTTCTGTATTACATGTTTACATCGGGACTCTCTGTATTATATATTTACACTAGAACTCTGTTACATATTTAGTAACTTTCCCTTCTATAATTATAAAGCTCTAAATCAACACCAGGAATTAAGACTAATGAACATACTGGAAATAAAAGATGATTAAACAAAGTTGCATGACTTCATGTGAAATGTAGTTCTATTAACAGGCATTTGTGAACTCAATGTTCAAATTAAGAAAACAAGAGCTTCGATGCTGGTCAGCATTTCTGTGCATGTAACACTGACAAAAAGGAAAGGGTTGTTCTAACCACACATGATTCTGGGATCCTCTGAATTTCCATCTGCCACATTTTCTAGTCTACAGCTAACAGGTTCCTCTCTCTTTAGCTAGAACATTTCTTGTGTTCTAAGAACAAACAGGAAGTGGCGAGTTACTGGCTAGGGAACTTGGCCTGAGATAAAATACCTGTATTTTACTGCAGGGGTTGCTTCCTAAGGGCACTGGGAGACTGGTGACAAAGGACTCCTCATCAAACAAAGCTACTTACCCATGGTCTCCCCTCCCTGTAGGCTCTTTCCTCTCTTGACCAGGCCACTCATTCACAGTCACTCAGGGTTTCGTCTGGTCAAAGAGCCCCTTCAGTTGTACCTTCATATGTCAATGTATTGCTAACAAAGACCCCTGAGAGAGCTGGATACACATCTAGGAAGTGCTTGGATCTGATGAAGTAATTTAAAAACCAAGCAATGGAAGAGTTAAGATGAGAACGAGTAGATTGCTATTCCCTGTCTTCTGGTTTCTGTTTGTCTTGGAGTGCTGGAGACCAAGCCCATGCTAGGCGAGCACAAGGTGCTACACTCCTAGCTCCTACCCCATGTTGTCAAAACTGTTATAGTTTCTCAAACTAAAAATAAACTACAGACTGAAATTGTAGAAGACTAGATTTTGAGATAGGGTCTCTCACTATGAAGCTCTGGCTAGCTTGTGATTCACTATGTAGACCAGACTGTTCTTGAACTCACAGTGACTCACCTGCTTCTCCCCCTCAAGTGTTGGTATTAAAGGTATGTGAAACCATACATGGCTAAGGAAATTTTGACATAGATTTATTTTGTGTGTACATGATGTTCATATAAAGGTCAGGGCCAACTTGTGTGGCCTGGTTTGTTCTTTCTGCTATGTCATTCTAGAGCTAGACCTTGGATCTTCTGACCTGGCAGCATCTTTACACACTGAATCTGAATCACCTCACCAGCTCAGGCATTTTCTTAATGTTGATGTTAATTCACCAAGATGTGTTCAGTCAGACTAGTGTTGTCTCAGTCTCAGCTATACACTAGGGCTTCTGAATGGGGTACAGATAAGCTCTGAGCAATACTGACAGCTCCTGGTTGCTTCTAATAACTACAATTGGTTCCTGTTACTCTTTTCAAGGATACTTTGTCAGGAATTCTATATCTGAGAGATGTAGAATTAACATCTGAGAGAACTGTTTTGACTCATTTTTCCCTTGCATGCATATGTGGTTTGGGTTTCTGGGCCTCTCATAGGATAGCAGGATAAACACAGTGGCATATCATTTGCAAACTCAAGATCCCTAACTCATTCAATGAGCCAACAGATTTGCAAATAGTATGCTATGCAGATTTCCAGGACATGAGTACATCTCTTAAATGCACAAGCTTAAAGAATCTTGTGACTTATAATGAACTAAAAGACGTTCCTTAATAACAGCCCTGTTCTGCAAAGTAGATTGTGACATACACAAGTAGTCCTGGGACTGACAAAACAAGACCAAGCTCTAAACGTCACAATGGAAATGCCTATAGGGTTTCAGAAAAACCTATACATACACACATACATACATACATACGTATGTATGTGCACACGCGTGTGGGCGCACTTGCTTTTGTTTTCTCTGAGACAAAGTCTCATAGCCCAGGATGGCCTCAACTTCACTGAAGATGACCTTTAACTTCTGATCCTTCTGCCTCTACTTCCCAAGTGCTGGGATTAGAGATCAATCAAGTGCTGTACAACTGATTTATTGGGGGTAGGGCCTTTTGTGTGCTGGGTCAGCACACTACCAACTGAGTTACATGACCCTCCACCTTTCCATATTTTTAATTTACTCAATTTTCTTTAATAAAGCAGGAATAACTTTATCATGAATTAAAATATAGTCAATTCATTTCTAATGGGGATAATAAAATTGATAAATTATGCACACAGATGACCTCACTAGGAAATCCGAGGCCACATGCATGCTGAGGCTCAGTGAGTATTGGTTTAGTCTCCTTCCCTTAAGAGAAGGCATTCAAATGGATATTGATGACAGCAAGATTTCTGAATAAAATCCAAGAATCACTGTGGTGCATGGGGTTGGAGCGGCCAGCAGACATTTTTGAAAACAGGATAACAGTTAGGGAACAGTGACAGACAGTAAACTGGAAGAACACAGAAGGGAAAAGCCAAAGGCAAACACAGTGGTGCTGTGCCCAGAGCAGTCAGCCACTACTTGTCCCATAGCACGGGTCACCTGAGCAATGCTGGATGGTGAACACACCACAGCTACTTTTTGTCCTGGATGCTGTGTGTTCTAATCACTGAAAATTCAAAAGAGGGCTGTGTTTACTACTACAAAAACTCACACTTAGAATCTTTCAGTAGTTGGTAATAACATAAATAACTGGTATGATGTTATACGCGTTTAATCCCATCACTGGGGAGGCAGAAGCAGGCAGATCTCTCTGAGTTACAGAACAGCCAGAAATACATAGTGAGACCCTGTATCAAAAAGCCAAAAATATACATAAATAAAATAAGGTAAAAACAGACCTGTTTCTAAAGTTTAAAGATTATAAATGTTTTAATTTTTATAAACTCTCCAATAGTAACTAAATTTAAACAGTAAAAGACAAAACAACATTCTATAAAGAATATAAAGTGTTTACCTCTTGTTTTTCTTGATTTGGGTCCATACTAAGTAAAGTTGGTATTTTAGGTGAATCTGTTTTCTTTGATTCTCTCTTCAGCACTTTTATCTGTTTAACTTTTGAAGAAAAAAAACAAACAATGTAATTTGTTGGCCCTTCCTTGAAACTATATTTTCCTTCCAAGGGCTTCCGGTAGGTATCCCAGTAGCCACTAAGCCCATTTTTGAACTCAAGTTGCAAAGGGACTGAGTAACTGTGAGTTGTAAGATATGGTATGATTTTATTTTGTGATCTCACAAGAGCATGTCTCTATTTTCATCGAGGGACTCTCAAGTTGGACATTCTACATTTTACACCTTGCTATTATATCACATTTTTATAAGGTGTCTGTTTTCCAAGGAAAGGAAAAAAACTTAACACAGCAATAAATTTTATTTTAAAATAAATACCTGCTTAATTTTATTTCAATATATTTATTATTCATTTGTTTACTGGGGTGGGGCCAGTCCTCTCCTCCTACAATGTAAATCCCATGATCAAACTCAGATCATCAAGGCTTGTTAGCATCAAGTGCCTTTACCTGCTGAGCCATCTCACCAGCCCTTAAGATAAAGCCTAAGGTTATGATAAATTCTACATTTAGAAAAAAAATCTACCAAATCCCTGCATGCCCAAAACATCTGTAACACTTCTGGGCAAGTGAGTAGGGAAGGTGCTTTACTCCATCTTATATATGGAACTAAGATGTCTTCCTCAAATTCTGCCCTGACATCTCAACATGAAGCTAACAGAACATTTACCCTGTCAGGATGTCTTTACCTTTCTTTAAAATTACCTTTATTAAATCTGACCCTTGCTGGGCACAGTAGACCTTTAGTCCCAGCACTCACTCTGAAGGAAGAGGCAGGCAGGTATCTGGGAGTTCAGGCCAGCCTGACTTATATAATGAGCTCTAGGACAGCCAGAAACACACAGAGTCTGACTAAACAAAACAAAAGTCTGACCTTTTACTTAGCTTACTTTTTCAAAGCAACTGGCTACTTCTACAAAGATCCCAGGAAAGTGTTCTTACAAACAGCCCCGCCCCTTAGTGTGTCATCTACGTACCTTCCATCCCTTTCATCTCCTTCGCCTGGATTGTGAACGGCAGTTCAGGGAAATGGAATTCTTTCCTGTCGCATTTGGAAAAATTCAGCTTCCTTTTGTTCCCACTCGCTATTTGGTCATTCTGACCTGTTCGTTCATTAAATGTACCTTTCTCTGTTTGGACCTAGACAAACAAGTACCAGTTAGTATGAAGAACTGTGGATGACCAACTGTAGAGTCTTAAGCCTACAGGTGCTGGCTATTTGGATGATGGAAAACAGTTCTGGAGATTACTTTAATAATCAAGAAGCACAACAGGCCGGGCGGTGGTGGCGCACGCCTTTAATCCCAGCACTTGGGGGGCAGAGGCAGGCGGATTTCTGAGTTCGAGGCCAGCCTGGTCTACAGAGTGAGTTCCAGGACAGCCCGGGCTATACAGAGAAACCCTGTCTCGAAACCACCCCCCCACCCCAAAAAAAAAAGCAGAACAGAATGAGGTATGGTGGACATGCCTGCAGTCCTAGCACTTGGGAGTCAGGCAGAAGGATCTCAAGTTCAAGGCCAGCCTAAGATACATAGTGAGACCCTAAGAAAGCAAAAGCAAAACAAACATACAAACCAACAGACTAAAGCAATACTAAACACAGAAGCAGTCAGACTCCCAGGGACATTTTCCAAGTGAAGCCTTTAGTCCATTTACTGTTCTTGATTTAGGGAACCACAATCTTGACTTTGTTTGTTGTTGTTTTTGTTGTTAAAGACAGGGTTTCTCTATATAAGAGCCTGATTGTTCCAGGAACTCATTTCTGTAGGCCAGGCTGACCTCGCTGGGATCAAAGGTATAATATATACCTCGCCACCCTCTGCCTGGATGTTTCAATCTTATGTTATTATAAATAATGCTGTGCCTTGAATGTTATAAGCTGATTGTTTTATGTAAAGAAATGATGGGCAAAAAAGAGAAAGATATGGCTAACATTTCTAAAGCAAGGAAACTATATCTATTTGGCAAGTGTTTTTAATCCATAAAGGTATTTTTGAAAGAGAAAAGCACAAGTCTTGTGATTTGTAAAAAGGGTAGGCATACATTAGTAAACAACTTAAGATAAAGAATAAGATGATACAGATACAGCTCAGTGGTTGAGAGCAGTTATTGCTCTTGCAAAGGGCCAGGGTTCAATTCTCAGCACCTACGTGGAGGCTCACAGCCATTCACAGCTCTAGCTCCAATGCCCTCGTCTGGTCTCCATGAGCACCACTAGGTAATCACATATAAAATAAAATAAGTCTAAAAGAGAGAGAGAGAAAAAGAAAGAGACAAGCCAGAAGCTGGAAGCACAGGGGAAAACATGGTCTATTTTCAGGAAGAAAAGAGGGACTGCTAAAGGGATTCTCAGTGGGCACTTGCTTAGCACCTGCAAAACCTTGGACTTGTCCCAACACGGGTAAGAAAGAAAGGGAAGAAGGGAGAAAGGGTAGGAGGGAGGGAATGGTTTTAAAGATTTATTTATTTTATGTATATTGGTGTTTTGCCTGCATGTATGTCTGTGTGAAGGTGTAAGATTCTCTGGAACTGGAGTTACAGACAGATGTGAGCTGCCATGCAGGTGCTAGGAATTGAACTCTGGTCCTCTGGAAGAACAGCCAGTGCTCTAACTACTGACCCATCTCTCCAGCCCTGGGAAGGATTTTTTTAATGTGAGAACTCAAGAAAAAAATAAGGTAGACAATGTTTAAAGAGGCCATATTTTATTAACTTATTCATTCCATGTGTGTATGTTCATGTTCTAATATGTGTACATGTGTGGTAGGGTACACATGACGCACCTGCTGATGGAAGCCAGAGGTAACATTGGATGTCTTTCTGGATAGCTCTGACCTTATGTTTGAAGACAAGGTTTCTCATTCCACCGGGAGCTCACTGATTTGGCCAGACTAGAAGCCAGCAAAGTCTAAGGATCCTCCTGTCTGACCCCCAGTGTTAGGGTTACAGGCATGTACTGCTGTGCCCAGGTTCTTACATGGTGCTGTGAATCTAAACTCTGATCCTTGTGCGTGCTCACCTAGTACTTTACTGACTGAGACATTTCCCCAGCCCAAAAGTTCATGTTTTAATGACTAACATCTTGCCTTACTTGTGTGGGACCTGTGTCCTCTTGTCTGCTATTAGACAAAGTTTGTCCAATAGTTTGTGAAGAAGTACGTCTCTTTTTTGTTCTTTCAGTTAACCTATTAATTAAAAATAAATGAGAAGTTATTAGAACCTCCCAGAATTGTCCTTCTGTTAGCATTAAGAACAAGTAAGTTATAAACAGTGGGCCAGGCTATACACACCAATAACACTGGCACTCAAGTGGCTGGCTGAGGATTTTTGACTTAAGGACAGCTTAAGCAACATAACCAGATCCTGGCTTATGAAAAAAGGAAAGGATTTATACCATAGTACTGTTAAAACACCGAGTGTCAAAAGGCAACTTTCAAGTCTGAAGTTCTGAGAACTCTAGGACAGGACAACCACTGCATGGCTAACCGTGGGTGAACACATGCCAGGAAATGACTCTTGAGGCCCATTTGTTCCCTTATATCTATTCTAAACTTGGATCATTTAATCGCTGGAGTTCTGAATTTTTGGACTTGTCTGAGACTGGCTTGCAACCATGGTTTACTGGAGGTGCAACTCAGGCATCATCTGAAGAACACCTTGGTTAGTTACTGCAACCTAGGGTCCGATGTACCTTTGTACTTACAGACAAGTCCACTGGCTTATCCAGACAGACTGCTCATCCTCATACCAGCTCATCCTCACAACCTGTAGCCTAAATCAGCCTGCCAGACTCTGGTTGAGCCAATGGACCTTCCAGTGTAAGTTTGCACACAGACCTGATGTCTTCACTGTCCATCACCAGTCCCCAGCTTGAGCAGTGTCTCACTATCAGTCTCTCAATCTGCAGCAGAGGCTATAAACCTAACACTGGCCTGACACTGTTTTCCTACCAACATACTTACTATACTGAAAGGCTATTTGCTATGAAGGCCTTATTTTGGACTATTCTTTCTCCATTGAGAGAATCTGCTATGAGGCAGAGATAAAGCTTACTTTGCAGCACTGAGTGGTGGGTTAGATACAGTTTGTCCTCCAATGGTCCACATACTGGAATTTTGTCCCCAGTGTGCTGTGTTGAGAGGGGTGGAGCCTGTGAGTGGTGAGGACTCTCAAGAAGGAGGTGACTAGATCTCAAGATGGACTGATGATTTTTTTCCTTAGGAGGCATTCTTGCACTTGAGGCATGGTCCATGAAAGAGGGTCTTTATAAAGGACCCTGGCACTGCCCCTGAAATCTTCCTCCTGTATTGGCACACATAATTCCTACATGTGGTCAGTTTCTTGCCTCCTTCTTTGCTCTGATGTGACACAGCCAAGGAGCCCTTGCCAAAGCAGTGGCATCATGCTGTTGGATGCTCCACCTGCTATAACCATGAGCCAAACAACACTCTCTAACGTATCCTATGCCAGTAGAGTATCAGTTATTTCAGCATAGCAATACTAAGTGGACTAACACACCAAGGCACATGGATGCCAAAACTTAAGTGAAATCACCCCTTTTCTCTTCAAATAGAAGATATTTTTCTTTTAAAAAGATATTCCAGCCTCAGCCATTGAGAATACTGTCCATGCACAGGACCTGGGTTCAGTTCCCAGCATCTACACTGGGTGGCTCACAATTGCCTTTAAGTCCAGCTCCAGGGGTTCTGATGCTCTGTGGCCTCCACCTACACTGAATGAATGTGGTGCTGCTCATACGAATACTTAGGGACACATAGAGACATAAAATAACTATTTTTAAAGCTATCCCAAAGATATCAGTAAGCAATTAAATATCTAAGTTGGTCACGATGGCATCCATCATGATGGCATCCATCTGTAATCCCATCTCTGAGGAGGATGAGGCTGGTAGACCATGTATAGGAGGCCAGCTTGGGTTACAAAGCAAGTCCCAGGATAGTCTGGGCTCTGTGGCAATTTGTCTAAAAAAAAAAAAAGTTTAATACCTATATAGCTAAGAAAAAACTTCTCATATAACATTCCTAAGAACTCCTCAGTGAATGCCCTGCTGCTACATGACTCCAACTTGAGAAGATCCTTTTCAGGTGTGGTCCACACTGACACTGACCACACAGGAGGACAGCTTACTTAATCAAGCCTCCGTGAACTCTAGCTCACCGTGAATTGGGGTGGGAGAGGTTTGAACTGAGATTTGCAGCCAACAAATTACTGCTTGTCAGGTTGATAGGTGGCATTATCATACAACCCCCGGAGTGTGGCTCTTCTTTGACACAGTCAGAATTCGCACTGGGATTGACAGTGTTTGTAAGTTCTGAGACAGGAGGCTTCCCGTCCAGGGATGAGGAGTGTGCGTCATCAGCTGGGCCCTGCTGGCGGTGGTCACCTTCACACTCTGTCTTCTTCAGGTCTGGGACGTCTCCTTTTCCCCCTTTGGCCTTCATGATTCTGACTTTGAGCTCCTTGGCCCTTTTGTCTCTGTCCACTTCCTGGAACAGGTGAGATGTAGAGAATCTGCTGTCATTAGAGCCCTAAGCATGTGCAACTACACAGGCTGAAATGAAAGGCAAGGAGGAGCTCACCTTTCCATAAAGTGATGGATTTCCATAGAGCAGAGTGTTGGTAAAAAATGATTTTTTCTCATCTCTCGCAGGTTCATTTTCTTTAAAATTCTCTTTTGGCTTTATAAACGAATTAACCTTTGCTTCCTGTAATAATTTAGCTCTCAGCTCTGGTATGAATCTAATGAATCAAGCAATATTATCCAATCATTTTTTATATGATTTATCTTAATAGAACCATTCAATCAAGCATTTTATAATTTTAAAATATTAAATTTTATAATATTAAAATATTATATAATCGTAACTGATACCAAGAGATGGCGCTATTTTTATTTGTTTGTTTGTGACAGGACATCACCACGTGGCCCGAGTTGGTATCAAGTATAAAATCCCCCTGCTTCATCTTCCTGAGTGCCAGGATGACAGGTGTCACCATACCCAGCTAAGATGGTGTAAATATTTACCTTACAATAATTGTGTGCTGGCAACAGATCTTTCAGACATTTTGCTAGGAAAATCTACCACATAAAACTTACAAAACAGACTTACATTAGATTCCCTTTGAGATGTGAATCTAATGAAATGTCACTTTGAATTTTGATAGGGAAGCTCTTCGTCTCTTTACACTTACACAGAATTTGAGTCACAGTGCTCGTGTTAAGTGGCTTACAACTGCCTCTAAGTCCACCTCTTGGGAGATCCACTGTTCTTCTAATTTACACAGGCATCCTTACACAGGTGCACATGAACGTAAATAAAAAGAAATCCTTTAAAAGTAAATGAAATCAAGCCTTTAAAAGCTCTTCAATTAAACATGGTCTCTGGTCTGAGGTGAGACTGCAGCTGTAGCACAGGATTTTGGTACACTGCCTACAACCCTGTAGCCCTGTGACAAATTCAAGCTGCTTACCATGTACCTGGTCAATACCTGACACAGTAACTCCATTAAGTTTCTGTTACATTGAATATGTGTGTTTTGTAACATTGTCTGTCTAGTGATTCCCCTTCTAGTAAGTCTCCTGATATAAAACACGAGGAAGACCACAAATGCTTACTTCTCAATAAATCCATCTCTAGTAAAGTAATCGTGACGCAAAAGATCAGTAGATGATATCCTCTCAGCAGGATCAATTTGTAAACAAGCCTAAAAAAGAAAAAAGTCTAATAAAAGATGAGGGTTTTTTTTGGCTCTCCCCTAAAATCAAGTCTTTAATATTTGACATATGACGAAGTTATTACCCAGAGCTAACAGAGTCTGTAAACAAGCAGATTTCTAACAGTAAATTCTGACCATTTAGTTACCTAAGAAATTTACTCTTGCAACTTCTAAAAGTTACTATTTTGTGTGACTGTCAGCATATGTATCCCATGGTCACACAGGGAGGCCAAAAACAGCTCTGTTTTGGGTTCTATCTTGTCACCTTGTAGGATATAGGGATTGAATTCAGGCCTTCCATAAAAATCCCCTTTCTAGTCTCTGCAGACACCAAACACACATGGTCCACACACATACAGGCAAGCAAAACATCAATACACATAAAATAGAATAGAATAGAATAGAATAGAATAGAATAGAATAGAATAGAATAGAATAGAATAGAATAGAATAGAATAGAATAGAATAGAATA